AACATCATTCTCTATAGGAATTAACTCCGCAGCGAAACGACTCAACTTGTTGAATTCACATTCGTACTCATACATTGTACGATTTCATTGCTTCAAATTCATGAACTCTTGTTTCATCTGTCGGATGAACTGATCTCCGATATATTTATGCTTGAACTCTTCTAAGAATAAAGACCAAGTTACTTGATCACCGGTCATTCTCAATATAACGTTGGTCCACCAAATCCTTGTTTACCCTCGGAGCAAGGAGACTATTCCATCCAGCTTCTCTGGATCAGAACAATGAAGTCCCTGAAGCATGATTTTTACATCATTAAGCCAAAGGTCCGTAGCAACAGGCACTCCAGAGGGTGCCTGATCTTCACTCTTCCTGGCCAAGGCAGGTGAATTACTGCTTTCAACAGGCCTATGCTGAGAATCGACAAAACTGTAGCTTTGATACCATTAAATGTAACATCCTTAACCCATATCCGACCCGAATATGAGTCCGATGTGTCACATTAACTTTTCAAACTTTGACTCTTGAAGAAAAACAGAGAAATTTTAAACTTTCATTAAAACCAAATATATTAATTTACATAAAAGGGACCACAAAATACAAAATCGATCAGAACATTCGTAATTAACTACTTATTACATGCCAACACTCTACACACAACCAAAATACCTACTTTGTCAATTACTTTTGATCTGATCTTTTAGTAGTGATGTTGTCTTTGCCGCCTCTATTACTGCTCCTCTTGATTCTTGGTACCTATGTGTAAATCACTTACACGCTAAGTCATAGACTTAGTGAGGCATAATATAAAAATATATATATAACAATTCATGAACATGCATTCTTACCATCTGATCATGACATCTTTATTTGTATGCATCTATTTCACTATAACATATATGACGGTAATATGCACATATAAAACATATATTCTTATGTTAATTCCACTTTAACTTATCTTTGAATTGCTCATGTACATTATGGAGAACAAAGGTATGTGAGTACATAGAAGTTGTGTACTATGCTGTCACCACAGCTCGTATAATTCCCTCAAGGGACACTGAATATTTGTCTCGAATGACCACTATGTCCCGAAAGACCACTGATTGTTCCGAATGACCACTGATTGTTTCGAAGAACCACTATGTCCCGAAGGACCACTGATAATCCCTCGACTCTTGATATGCCAATTATACCTATAGCTATCATATTAAATAACATGGGCTTAATTATAAATACATTTCTCATTTCATATCTCTTTCATCACTGTCCATGTAAACACATAAGTCACTTTATATGATCATTTTCATTATTTCACATATATGGAAGAATTCTCTGATAATGTCATTCATTCATATAATACTATATTAATCATGAATGAAAAATGCATGAAATCACTATAACGTTAACACATATATATGTATGCATATGCATGAATATAAAATCATAAATTTAATGATAAGAGATAGACTTATCGCAAGTCTTGTCTCAATTCCATTTCATCTAGGATATGCACTCACCTTGGCCTTGCTTATTTTGACTTGATCCTAATCTTTTGTTTGTTCCGGAACGAAATTACGTTCTATATCTACATAGTAATACATTGATACTAATCAATATACTAATTAATATATTCTAAACTATCACTCCTTGGGCTAAAAAGAAAGTTATTTTCATCTTTTAATGAAGGTATGCATCGATGCATCCCTTGACGGGTGCATCGATGCACAATCTATGCATCGGTACATAAATCTCATTCGATGTTTATATTTTAAGGGGGTGCATCGATGCACTACTTGTGCATTGATATACTAATGACATTCGATGTTTTTATTTTAAAGAAGTGCATCCATTCACTTCATGTGCATCGATGCACATTGAATAATTTCTGGGTTTTTACCCTTGATGCATCGATACACATTGAATGTGCATCAATGCACATATCCCAGAAATGTTATTTTAGCACGAAAATCTCTTCATAGTCTTCTCAACACTTTATATTTCCCCTCTTTTTATATCCTTAACTTGCATATACCTACTTAAACTAATTAATACCCATTCAATACCTCTTAAACTTAAAAATCCAATCCTCCACATAGATTTTAAGAATCTCCCTTAATTTCCAGCATGTTCTAAATCTAATTTTAACACTTCGTATGTCTTAATTAAGTCGACGACAAGTCAAATTCAACCTTCGATTTCAAATATGAACTCTATTTCAAAATTCCATTCAAGAACTCCTTATCTTTAATTATTCCTACACTCTTCATCTTGTTGTTTTAAAGCAAATTAAGTTTTCCTTAAGCTTAATTAACATCTAAGGATCAAAACAAAACTTAAATTTCAGCAAACAATTAACTCATGAAAAATCCCACATTTGTTTTGACCTCTTCACATTTAGGAGAAAAGAAGATATGAAGAGAACTCTGGAACCTTGTTTTTCTTTCTTCTCTTCCACGTGGAGCTAATATATAAATCCCTTCTTTTATTATATTTCCTTGCAAAAGACTATTCTATCATTCTATTCTTTCTTCTTTGCAATTTAACCCTATACCAAATTATAATACTATTCAATTATTCTGTTTTAGTCATCAAATTCTAAATTTTTACAATTTAGTCACTAACCCGGTATTGAGGATGTTACAGTACATGATACACTGAGGTTGTGCACGAATGCTGTCACCACAGCTCGAATAAATTCCTACTAGAGGCACTGAATATTTATCCCGAAGGACCACTGATAATCTCTCGACTCTTGGCATCCCAATTATATCCACAACTCTCATATTAAATAACATGGACTTAATTATAAATACATTTCTCATTTTTATATCTCTTTTATCACTATCCGTGTAAACATATAAATCACTTCATATGCAAATATATGATTACTTCCATTATTTCACGTACCTGGATCGATTCTCTTATAATGTCCTTCATTCATATAATATCATGTTAAAGCATGAATGAATTATACATGTAATCAATATAACATTAATACATATATATGTATGCATGTATATGAATGTAAAGTCATAAATTTAACTATAAGAGATAAACTTATCACAAGTCTTGTCTCCATACAATTCTATCTAGTATATACACTCACCTTAGCCTTGCTTACTTTGACTCGATCCTAATCCTTCGATTGTTCCGGAACAGGATTATGTTCTATATCTATATAATAATACATGGATACATATCAGTATACTAATAACATATCCTAATATTTCATTTCTTAAACTAAAGGAAAGGTAATTTCATTGTTTATTTGAAGTAGGTATCGGTACCCTCTATAGGGTATCGATACATCCCTCAACTGAGGTATCGGTACCCCCTGGGTATCGATACCCTAATTGTATTCTGTAAAATTTTACTTTGGAGGTATCGGTACCTGTTGAATAGGTATCGATACCCCTTGCCCATAATTCACATTTTTCAACATGAAAATTACTTCATTTCAGTTCAATACTTTATATTCCGCCCCCTTTAATAATCCTAACTTACAAACACATGCTTAGTCTCACTAATATTCATTTATCCCATCTTTAACCTCAATATCCTCTCCTCTTTATAAAATTCAAGAATCATACTCAAATTTCAACATGTTCTAAATTCAATTCTAGCACTTGTTATGTCTTAACTAGATTGATGACAAGTCAAATCTAACTTCCAAATCTACTTATGAACTCTATTTCAAGATTTCATTCAAGAACTTTTAATCTTTAATCTCTCCTAACTCTATCATCTTTTGATTTTAAGATAACTTAAGCTTTCTTTGAGCTTAGTTATCATCTAATGATCATAACCCAACTTTAAATTTAACAAGAAATCAATTAACCAGAAACTCACATTTGGTTTTATCTCCCACGCATGAAAGAAGAAGAAGGAAAATTCTGGAGAAATCTCTTTTTTCCTCTTTCTCACTTGGTTCCCTTATCTAATAAGGGAAATTAAAAATCTTTCTTATCAAATGATCATTTTACCCTTTAACTCATTTCATAATTACTAACAATCCTTCATAACTTATTTCCAAATAAATCATTAAATTATTCAATTATTCTACTTTAATCACCAAATTCTGAAGTTTTACAATTTAGTCACTAACCCGATATTGAGGATGTTAAAAACTCTACTTTATTCACAATATTTAACTATTATAATATTGATTTTGCAAATATAAAATAAAACATATACATTTCTAATAAATATCAAGATAAAAAGTATAAATAAAATATTCATAAATAACATTACGAAAATACAAATAAATAAGAAAATTACGATTCATAATAATAATGCGAAAAAATATAAGTTACATAAATATATATTTTAATTCTCCAAATTAAAATATTCATTCCACAAATTAACAAAAAAAAGAAAATAAAAAAATAAACAAAAAATCAGACTCTACTCTAAAGATGGGTTACATTGTTGCGCTACATGTAAAGTGTCAATGTAGCATCTCTACATTCCATACTCTACTCTAGAGATGGGCTGAAGTTGAAATTCATCTCCAAAGTAAAGATTTCCTTACTTTTTGGAGATGCATTGGAGATGCCCTAAGTTTTCAGTAACTCATTTAACTCTCCGCCACGAATTCACTTAAAAAGTAATAAAATTCATCATTATTCAGCATAATTGTTATTATAAGACAGGCTTGTTCTTGTAGTGTACAATTGGGGACAAAAATGTTCTCTTGCACTAAAGCTACTGTGAAGGTAATGAAAATGATTCCACTTTACAGATTTCTCCAATCCGGTCTGTTCTTTAATGGCAACTTACCAAACATGTCCACAGCGAGTTCATGCGTACTAAATAATAGAAATGCACACCAACTCCATATGACATTGCCCTGCTTTTTTTGTTCACTTGATCTCTCCAGTTATCTTAGATTCGAATCACATCGGTTGATAAGGTTGATGTTAATTATGTCGACCACGAAATGAATGATTACTTCTTTATGTTATATTTAACTTATAATTATTATTATAAGATAACAAAATCGAAAACAAAACGATGATAATTTGATATTTTTACATAGAACTCTCATCACCCATCTTGCTAAAACAAACCTAAGCAGAAACATTCACACACACACAGACACCCCAATAGAAGAAAAAAGTGGTCGATAAGAAGCGACCTAAGTCATTTTCATAGTTAGAACTTGGAAAATCCAAGGAGCTTGTATTAGTCTCTCCTTTCTCAATTGTTCTCCAAGATCAGCATTGCTTTCACTTGCGTTTCGAAACCCCGTTGTCGTATGACATGATTCCGTGGAGGACGAGGAGAAGCTCCGTCCGGAATCCGATGTTCGAGGGGGAGTCGATATCTCATGTTGTTTCTTTGTCGGTGGCCCTAACGTTAGTTCGATATTGCTTTCGTCGATGACTTCTAGCATTCTGTTGCCGTGATGCTCGTTGGCCGGATGTCCCGAATCGAATTGTCTTTTCCTGTTAGGCCTGCTGTTTTCGATGCTTTTCATCAATGCCTTCTGGATTCGATACAGACGATGGAGCTCGTACACCTGAAAACATTACTTGAACCTTAATAAATAAACATAAATATTATATACATATATAAAAGTTATATATGTGAATCATAAATATACTTGTTCTTTGAACGTTTCTTCATGTTTTAACATTTCCATCCTCATTGACTCCTTGTCATACTCTTTAAAAAGCTTCTCCATTGAAGCCCAATGTAGTTTGCTTGTAAAATATTCAATTCACCTGCAAATTTACTAAAATGATATGAAAAGTTAATATTTGAAAACTATATCTATATATATATATATATATATATATATATATATATATATATATATATATATATATATATATATATATATATATATTACTCATTCAATACATTTTAATTTTCCACATGATCCCCGGATCCATGATATTGTTCATGTTTTTCTTTTTATACTATTATAATAATTATTGATGAACTTATTGAGTCGTCACAGTAATTAACTAGAGTATTAATCTTTTTTTGAGACCCTGAGTTTAAGTAATTGTATTTACATAATTTAGATTATTAGATAGACAGAAACATATGTGGTTCACGCGAAGGGAACAAATCCATTCCAAATAATTTAGTTTAAGAAGTATTCAAATTGAAATTGGAAGTTTTGGATTTGCAGATTTTATAATTAGTAAAGCTGGAGAAGAGAATAGTCGTAAGGAAATCCATTATTTAACAAGAACAAAATTCATGCAAACATGAAATTAAGCTGGTAATTATGTAATTACTATAGGATCATCATCATACATTCTGAATGGAAATTCTTTTGAAGAATTATTGGAGATCAATGAGTCTGTTAGATCTCAAAAGAATGATGGAAAAAACATAACCATATATATATATATATATATATAACGTGTAAGCTATCAAAATCAAGCTGTATATTTGGGTGTTTTTATTTTCTTTCATGAAATGAATCCATGCATGGAGAAAAATATCATACTCTAACCTGTTTGATAAGCGGTTGGTCTCGATTTTGAGCCGATAAGTGCTGGGGAAAATTGTCCTTTTGAGGTTCAACTCCGAAACAATCGGTGTCTAATGTGAATATCGAATACCGAGACGTGCTGTAGAACAGAAAAACGAAATAGAAGATGAGAGGCTTGGTTTGACAGACAAAGAAGATGGTATGTAGCATAGAGGTTTGGAATACAACTGTATAAACCGAAGCTCAAGGATGAGCAAGCAATGCAATTTATATAGTATTGCTATATATGTAATGCTGGATATCTTTAACTCTTTATCAAATATAAACACGTATTTGATTGTCAGACAAATAGATTTTAGTTATTTTAATAAAATATCGTATATCGGTAATTATTTAAACAATATAAATAATTTTATTTTAATTATAAAGAATTTGATATGTATAATATAAATAAAGAAATAGACCCGCTTATTTATTGGCATCGGTAACAGCACACTTTCCCATGGTGAAGGGATAAGAATTATTGGATTCTGTTTCACCAAAACATGGAAGAAGGGAAGACCCCATCGCAATGATTATAGACCGTTAATTGGCCATGTGAGGAGGGTTGTTGGGAAATCAATCAACCATCACACGGGTCGATCAGTGGACCCCGTAATATTCCCCTTAAATCTATTAAAATAAAAATGAAACATACTTTTTATATAGGGTAAACTACTCATTTGACCACTTAACTATTTAGGCATTTTACTTTTACCATCGATTTTTAAATTTTATCAATCACACCACATAATTGTTTAATTATTTCAATCAAACCACTAGCCGCTAATAGTTGATGGAAATGATGACGTTGTAGTTAAAATGAATTGGTATAATTATGGTTATGTGGCTTGACTGAAATAATTAAATAATTAAGTGGTCAATTGAGTTGTGGCTTTTAACTGTAATGTCATTATTTCCGTCAACGTTAACGGCTAGTGGCTTGATTGAAATAATTAAATAGTTATGTGGTGTGATTGAAAAAATTATAAGATTGATGATAAAAGTAAAAAAGGATACAAAATAGTTAAGTGGTTCTGAGTAGTTTACCCTTTTATATATTTTAATAATGATGATAATAAATCATTTTTATGACGTGTAGGTTTGAACTTCGGAAAATGCTAAATAAAATAATATATAACGTAAATTACATCGTTATTCACTTAATTATATTTTTCTCATATTTTTCTCACCCAGCTTTTGATTTTTCTATTTTGTTTATTGAATTATACAATTTGAATCATTTTACTCAACTCCATGACGTTTTGATGATGTGCCATTTTTTTTATTATTTTAATATTAAATAATTGAGAAAATAACAAAAACCAGAAGGTGGTCGAATGTCACCATCAACCGTTGTAGATGGTAGTTGTTCGGTCTCAAATTTCACGGGTCACTTCACTTCAATATCATGATTTCGAATCCGACCTCCATTTCGTCAGAACTTGTTTCAAGATCCACAAATTTGAGATTAAAAGTGAGAGCGTCGAAATGTTTTAGTCGAGATTCACGAGTTTTGAGACATTTTCAGTGAAACAATCATCAGATTTGAACTCAGAAAGTTGAGATGAACCGACCCATAAAATTTAAGACAGAATGACCACCATCAACTACAATGAATGGTAACCGGAAAAAAATAGCAATTGTCCGACGAAGAAAAAATGAAAAAAAAAAGAAGAAAAATAGTAAATTACACCATTCTCATTAAACTTTATTCTCTCTTATATTTTACTTCTCGAACTTTTAATAAAAAATTTGAAACCACGTCGTTTTGATGCACATCTTCGCATGCAAACCGGGAAAATGTTAAATTATTACTAGGAGAGAGTTGAACTTTAATAAATAATAAAAAAAAGAATGGAGAGAGTGACAGGAAAGCACGCGTTGCCGGGGAGAGGAGGAGCAACCGTAAGGGGCGGTGGGACCATTTGGTGGTCGCTGAAAAAGCTAAAACAAAGGGCTTTGTATTGCCATTTGGCCCCCACCCCTGAAAAGAAAATTCTCAGAAACCATTGATTGCTCTCAGAAGGAGAAGGAAGAGTCAAACAAAACAAAACAAAACAAAATAATTGTCAAACATCTCAGAAGATTTTACAACCCAACTTCATTTATTATTTACAGGATTTCTCGTTTCGTGTTTCTTTCCTATTGGATTCATATAAGATTTCAAAACATGAGTGTTTCAGGAATCTGATTGCTGCCATTTCTCTGTTTCTTGAATGTACTGCCTGCATCTTTTCCGCCTTCTTTTCTCCCTTTGGCAGACAAAAAGCCCTTCAAAGTTGAAAAAACGATTGTAGTTTTAGATTTTGGGTTCGGCTGCTTCGGCAAGGGAAATGGATGTGAGCTTAAAAAAAATCGAAGATGGCATTAGATTAAGGCTTGATGTATAAATAAGTGTTGAAATATACTCAAAAATAATTTGATGTGTCTAAAATTTTTCGCTAAAAATAGATATTTAATGTTGTTAATGTTATACTTTAGATGTATGTATTAAATTTAACCACTATTAACATGTGTCATGTTTATAAAATTTTATTTTAAAATAATAAAATTTAAATTTAAAAAAAACTTAATTTTTTTTAAAAATTTAAAAAACCCCAAACTCTAAAAATTCTAATTTCAAATCTCTTTGCTCACGTCGTTAGTCGGTAATGTTGTCCTGATCACCACTCTTTATCTTTGAACACTTCATTTAATTGGACGCACGAAGGAATTGCTTGATCACCAAAATCGTTAGACGCCATTGAAATTATCTAGTAGTTGTTATCATCATTTTTTGTTGCAATCATCACATGAAGTATGGGTACAGAAATTAAAGTTTTCGAGATTTTTTTTATAATTTCATAGAATATTGAGTTCTTTTTAAAATAATATATTTAAGTAAATTTTTAAATAAAATTTTATAAATCTAATACTATTACTTAATGGTTAAATTTAACGGTCGTTACAATAAATACACTTAAAAGTATAACATCGAGAATATTAAACACATATTTTAATGAAAAAGCTTAAAGATCTAAAGTTAACTTTGTATATATTTTTAGCACTTATTTTTAAATTAAGTTTTAGAATAGTTAGAAAATTATGTATACTCTTACGATAAAAATGAAATCGTTGATAACTGAAATTATTAGCAGCGGTTGACGATTTGTTTTCTTTTTTATATTTTTAAGATTAAATTAAACAATTAAAAGTATAAATAAAAAAATAAAATATATAAAAAAACTACAACAAAATAAAATAATAAATTTAAGGAGGCGCTAATATTCACTTAATGTTGTTTTTATATGTTAATCGTTTGCAACTGTGATTTACTTTGTCAAAATTATTCTCATCTCCAAGTGATTTTACATTTTTTATAAAAATATAGGTTCAATAAAAAGTAATATATATTTAAAGATTTTCAATCAATTGATAATGAACACTCGTACTCTTATATATACAGTGCTCAATCCCAAAACTTCAAGAAATAATAACAGTTTTTTTGGCCTAATACCTCAGGCGGGTAAAATATTTAGGGTATTGGGCCTACGCAAATTTTATTTAGCAAAATACGGCATGGGATATTATTTTTAATAATACATGTTTAGTGGGCCTTATGTGGGACATTATTCTAATGATGTTATAATGACTCGACATGTCAAGGTGATGAGTCCATCAAAAAGGTACTTTTCAAAAACTTTTAAAAATTAAAATTTATAAAATCAAATAATTTCTTTTGATGGAACTCGTTACGTCGAGGTGACGAGTTCCTTCAAATTAAAAAAAAAACTAGATGTTGTTCAATGTGCAACAACAATCACTTCGAACTTATCACCTCGAGATGACGAGTTTGGCCGGGGATAATTTAAAAAAAAATTAAAAGAAAATTCAATTTATTTAATTTATTTAATTTTTTGAAATACAAAGTAAATTAATTGTAAAAAATAAATTTTTACATGAAAACCACAAAGAAAATTTATATATGTCTTCTAAGTTATTGACAATGTCCCGGAGTGGTCGAATGATAATGTCGCGAGTGTCGTCGAGTACGCCTGGGTTGTAGGCCTTGATCGTCATTGACGTCGTCTTACCGAGGAGGTGTACCTAACACACTCTGCGATCCACCTTCGAAATACGGTGATGAATTTATGACATTTGACGCCATCATGGTCATAATTGCTTCGACTTGGCTCCTACTTTGTTGACCATATAAGATATGGTTCTAGTCACCCACAACCGCATGTTCTGTCAAAGATATTTGAGTGTATTGTGCTGCATCCCATGAACCTCCAACCCAATTCGGTTGAGTCTCGACTGAAGTATGAAATGGAGAAAAGAAACCGAAACTAACATGAGATGTATAATAGTACTCTTCAGCCGCAGATGCTGAAGCAGAAGACGACTACGACAATGTTTTTTTCTTAGACTTGAACTTGGATTTGGTGCATATATCCTGATGATGTTTTCATTCTACCCTCTCTTTCGGTGTCGTAAGATATGGTTTTCCATTTTTCTCGTAAAGCCAGAGATAGGGAGAATGATCGAAATCTAAGTCTAGCGGTGTAATAAGTGTGTCACGCCGACCAATTTTCATTATATTTCTCATGCGTATTGATTGTATAGAGCGTGTCCATATCAACCTCAATTTGTGTAGGAATCGACTGGTGCGCCGCAAACTGGTGAATCACTCTATAAGTTGCGTGGCACTCAACAATGATTTTGTGCAATAACGACATCATGACACACCATAAGTGGGACCCCTCAAGAAATCGCCCCGACAATACCTGTTTGATCTCCTCATCGACATACAGAAGCCAAGAGAACTTTGAATGTAACACCTCCAATATCGGGTCAATGACTAAAGTGTAAGGATTTAAAAGTTAGTTGTAACATCCTCAATACCGGGTTAGTGACTAAATTGGAAAGTTTTAGATTTTGGTGATTAAAATAGAATGAATAAATAGTATAAAGATTTATATGTAAATGATTGTGTAGAATTTAATTGAAAGGAAGAAGGAATGGAAGGGCCACAGAGTCATTTGCAAGGAAAATTAATTAAAGAAGGGATAAAGATATATATGAGTACAAGTGGGTTGAAAAGGAGAGAACATCAAAGGCTTCCAAAGTTCTCTTCTTCTTCTTCTTTCTTCCTTGTGCGTGTGAACCAAAGCAAAGGTAAGATTTCTGATTATTGAGTTTCTTGTTAAAT